AAATGTTGTACATTACAGCACAAATTCTATCTCAGTAGAAAGAGGTTATTTGTCAGTCTTGTGGATTAGAAAAAAAAAACAAAGGCAAAGAAGCATCAGAAAAGCATAAAAAAGTGTTCACTGGTGCATTGAGTAAGGTTTTATATACAGTATGTCTCGAGAGATAATCCAACTTGCCATGAGATGTCAGTTATAACAGATCTGCCTTTTTGGTTGGAGAATCCATCTAATTCAATACACTAAGGATTCAAAGGATGGAATTAAAACCTGATCCAGTGTCTGACTTTTTATAGATTAATTTTAGAACAAAAAATGCAATGCAGACAACTCTTCAGCACCAAAAAGTAATCTATTACAACAGTGCATGCAATTAAAACGTAAGTGAATCTGATTCTTCTGAAGAGGCACGAGCTAAAATGCAATCAAAAAGTACAGATGAAAACAAAAATCAACTCCCATGGGATGTGTGGGCAGAAAATTAATTTTCCATCCATTTAAACGTATCTTTTTCTTTATTGCATTAGAATGTCTCCTACCACTGACAGTCAACAGAATATTTCACTCACATCTTTTAAAAAAGAGCTTGAGTTCCAGATTTATTATCCTCGCTATAATTTCAAAATGCTACAAGATCTGCAAATCCTAAATTGTTACCACTTGAGAGTATACCTATGAAGTAATCTTGATGAAACATGAGGCATTATGACATGTTAATAACCCATTTTCTTTTAAATGCTGGTTTCCTACTTTAAAATTACTCTTGCTTATTTCTTTTTAATTTTAGAGGATCTAAAAAAATAGTAGTATCAAAATGAAAAAAAGAGAGTTAAGAAGCAACAAAACCCAAAACAAGACACAGATCCTACACGTTATAATCTCTCCTGAGAGTAAAGTAATTTAGTTCTTTTGCTTGGAGATATTGTTAACTATTGCTTTGTGAACTATGATGTGTACACCTATCAAGGAAAAGTCCTTTCTCGAAATGCAAATGAGGTACAGGAAATATTTTTAAATGTAACCCATACATGTTAGTACAACCCAGTGCACAGAAATTTCTCAAACACTGAAACATTCATAAACTCAGAAGCCCTAAACCTGAAGAATTACTATTGTTTTTAATGCAATTGCTGATTTTTACATTTCCAGCAAATCTTCTTTTTGAAACTACATATTTGGCATGATTTGATAAGTGTTTATGGTTACAGTGCCTTTCAAAAGTACGCACATTGGAAAATAAAGCATACAGAACATATTTTAAACTTAATATTTTTTTCAAAACCTGTATGCTCAAACTGGACACCTAAGGGTAAGATATGTTAGTTAAATTCATCCAATTCCCTGACTGGTACTTTTCAATAATTCTATCCCAAATTTGATTTGAATGTTCCTTTGTCTTTGTGATGTAGTCTTTGTTGGGAGCTATACTAATCAACTGTGGGGCCTGCCAGAGATATGTTTCTTTATTCTGAAGTCATGAAATGTAATCGTACACAGGTGGACTTCATTCACCCAATGTGAACAAAAGTAAATACGGATTGTGGTTTCTAAAGACCATGGTTAGTACCAGAGACTATTTAGGTGTGTCATAAAGGGGATACGTACACTTATGCAATCTGACATTTTATGTTTTATATTCATAATTAATTTCAAATAATACTGAATTTTGTTTTCACTTCGTTATAATTGGTTTGTGTTGATCAATGGCAATACTGGTTAAATCCATTATGATTCATTATTATATTGTAACATGATAACATGTAAAAACAATTCAAGGGGGGTGAATACTTTTTATTGCCACTGTAGGTGTACTTCTGAAATCATGTGAACCACTATTACAGCAGACAGCTACCTGTGTTTGCTATTAAGATAATTTTGTATATCTAAATTAATTTCGGTTTGTCAAAGCAAAGGGTCTGAATACTTATGCAGTCGGGACTTTTCCATCTTTAATTCTTCATATTAATTTAACTTTATTTTTGTTTTTTGCTTTGAATGTATGGAGTAGGTTGTGTACATAACAAATATTAATTTGTACTTCAAAGTGTCATGACTTTTAAAACGTGAAAACTGCAAGGGTCTGAATACTTTTACAAGGCACTGTATAAGTAGTAAGTGTATATATAGTACTGTACTATTTATATATATGTATATATTTGTTTGATAAAATAATTGGTGTTATTAAATTCAAAAGGAATAATCATGAACAATCATCAATTGATTTAACCTTTGTTCAATTTACTCTGTAAATCTGAAGGCAGAGTAAACATAATTTTTAAATTAAGTAACACATTACAAAATACATTTTCGGAAAATGTAGCATAAAAGAATAAAAAAAACTGTCCTTTTATAATATTTCCAAAACATAAATTTCATGATTGTATTTAATGTTACATTCTATGTACAGTATGAAGTGCATAAAATACTGAAAATAATAATAATTTCATACATTAACAACATTATTGAGAAAAAGGGTGCCTAATATTTTCTACCAGTTTATGTACTGTTATATGTTTCTGAAAATATGTGGCAAACACTGTATAATATGTGTAAAAGTAAAGACTGATTGTTATATCTATGCATTGCAAGTGAAACAGCCAAAACACAAAAATATAAGAAATCTATGCCTACGAGAGCAATAAGTTAGATGTATAACTACAGTATATACAGTACCTGTAGCATGTTCACAACACTATGTTGAGCGTGTATTATTTTTTCCAGAAAGTCGATTTTCCAACATAAAGCCAAGAAAATACGAAAATAAGAATTCTCTTAGGATTTATAGTACAAATTATCGGTAATATAAACTACTGATATATAGTACTAATGACAGCCTTAATGTAAAAATGTTAAGTAACAGGGAGTAACACAAACCAAACATTATGACTGCTACTGTAACATGTGCATGTTTATAGCAGCAGTAACCCTTCAAAATATCCACAAAGCCATGGAGTAAACAATTTGGTCTGTGCAATGGGATATTTTATTTGTTCTCTTAAGTGTTTTGGCTGTCACTCATTGTTTAAATCTTTTAGTACCCTGTTTTTCCTTAATGACCTAATTTACCTTACAAGCCCCAAGTGAAAACACGCTGTTGCCTTCAACCCAGTGGTTTTTTAAACTCCTTTGAAATTGACCTCAAAAGAAACACCAGTAGGGCAATATTAAGAAATCTTGAAATAGGCTAGAGAGCAGTGCTGCGCTATCAGTCACCTCAATCTCCCAGTACAACAAGAAACTCTCCTCTACTAATAAATCTCATCTGTCAATTAGGAACACAACATGCGACAAGCAATCCTACCGGCTGTGCCCAATTAAGTCCTAATGAATAGGTGTGAACTCTGCTCTTGTATTCATTTCATACATCACAGTGAAATGCAGATTGAATCCTGAACTGTGAAAGGACTATTGCAATTCTGACTTTATCAGAACAATAATTGATTTAGCTCTGAACAGGGATAAACTTCAGACTGAAATGCTTACAATAATGCTAAGAATGTGATCTTAAATGTTTAGTTTTGCAATTTAAAACATCCCAGTGTGTAAGCCTCTTTACATTATTTTAGATTTTTTTTTCCTTTTAAACATGTAAAAATGCTTAAGACTGCATAAAAACAGCATAAGATCAGAAAAAAGAAATCATGGATGGTACTGGTATGGACCTTTATAAATGCTGATTTTTATGGAATGCTATATATAGAACCTCATTTAAAAGCTGCAAATGTCTCTAAGAGAGACTGAAAATTACTTTGCTCAAGGCACGATGTCACATCACCATCCAGTACAAAGGTATGTAATCTTAAAACAAAATTGTATTATTAAAATAACGGCAAGTGTAATGCAAACAATTAATTACTTAAAGTTTCATAAATACTTCCCAGTTTTCATTATGCTTTCATTTCCTACTAAATCTATTTTTAAAAAAGTAATTTCTGCACTTGCCACTCTCAAATATGCATATAAATGTTTGAATCTTTACTGTTGGACAAAATAAGTTTTTACTTTATTACTTCACTGACATATTGTGCCTTAGACAAACTCAGAGTTTGACATTAATTTTAAATGGATATATATTTCTTATTTGTTAAATAAGAAAAATCCTGGATGCTGTCCAATACTTAATATTTCCAATCCTTTCCATTGCCACTATACTTTGGCATTTGGATAATGTAAAATGTGCTGTAGTTTTAGACAATCATCATCATTATCATTGATTAGAAGACTCCATTTCCAGCGTGACTTGCAAAACATACTTGATAAGGTTAATGACCTTAATCAAGTATGGTAAATCACAATCATATTGTACATGAAATAGTTAATTAAATAAAATGTCTAAAGAGTTAGCATCAGCTGCAAGGGATGTTTTGTTTTTCCCTCAGTTTTGCAATTTCTTGTGTGTTTTTCAGTACCTGAAATTGATTCTTGGTCCTACACATAGCCCCGCTGTGGAAGCATAACATTTTCATATAATTTTAATGTTGTACCGTTGGATATTTTGATATTTTATTCTTCCAAAAATCAACATATGACTCTTATGCATTTTCTGGAAACAAAAGAAGCTTTATGGGCTGTTGTATTACACGGAGACTCTTAAAATGTTATTAACATTTTACAGATATGTTGACTGACTTCTCATTATTGTTTATGGATGATTTTTTCATTGCTTTTCAGATATGTTTGTTTCTTTGGTTCGCCTATAAAATGCACCATCGACCGGGCCAATAAAATTAGCAATTTAATGTACTTTGAGAGGAGATTTATGGGCCTAAGTATGCTTTAGAAATGCACTCAGGGGCAGCACCGCATGCCCAGAGATTTTAAAGTGCCATTTACAATGCCTTGAATTTACTTGCATGCTCTAAAAAAAAATGAATGACAACAACTCTGAAAGTGGTGAGCGCATCAATCGAAGCTGACATCACTAAGTAAATCTGGTGCTCTTAATGTTTATTTTTTTAAGGGTCGGGGCTGATCATCTGAATAATATCTTCACAGGGCGGCCCCTTTAAATGCAACTTTAAAGACAGTCTAGAGAACTGCTGTTTCCAGACAGAATCTAGAACAGAAACATATTTTGTTTCAAATATACTGTATAATATCGTAAGGGGTTATAAATAGGTAAACCTAGGACACAGTTTCACAGTCCCTCCTCCACCCCATCTCCACCTTTGCAGCTGCCCCTCGGTCACTCCTCACTCTGCAGGGGGGTCCCAGCCTCCTTGCCCTCTTGCCAGGAGGTCAGCCCTCAGCCAGGCGGGTTAAATCAAATTTTCACTAAACACCCCATAATCCTTTATGTGTCACTGCCACTACACTTATTTGTTGGGTGTTGGTTTTCCTAGTGAAACATTTTTGATCGCAAAATCTTCGACAACAATGCATTTACTGTACCTACTATGTACCTTCATGAAAACATTTAACAGTAATGATATAAGCAGAATAAACTGGGCATGACGGCAGTTTACTCTTGCTGCATACAGTGCATATAATGTATGTTTATTTTAAGATGGCACACAAATTTAACTCTACCAGTGCTTGAAAGAGACTCCACAGAATTCCAGTCTGACAGTCAGTAGCATCTTTTCTCTATGACAAATGACTCCAAGGATCCATATCAAATTCTGCATTTGAAATTACACTTCTGAAAGAATTGCTTTCCATTTATAGCTCATTATGTCATTATCCTATTGATTTCAAACAACAGAAAATTATACTTACATAGAGGTCATCTTTTGCATTATAATAAACGATATCGTCATCCTGAAAAAAAAGAAAATAATCTTAATTAGTAAGGCACAGGTTTGCACCTTCCACAATGATGAGAAACAGAGACCAAAAGATTATTCTTTGTAGAAATATGTGGATCACTGAAAGGTGCCCGTAGCATCTCCTGGAGAGAGGTTACAGAAGAGACAATGCACAAACTTCCTGAATGGCACCTACAAGAGGTTAAGTACACTCTGTGAAGAAACTTTCGATTCCTTCACGATTTCTTTCGAGAAACTGAACCCTTCGATTATTAGGACTTTCTGCAAATTAATTTTTATCCTTCCAAAAACATTTTTTTCATACATGAAATTCAAGCCCCTCATTTCAAATAGTAAAAAGTGCTGAAGGTTTGTATGAAAGCTTAAGCAAAAAAAAAACAGTGGGTGCCAATCACCTTACTTTGCCTTTGAAGTCTAGCAGATTATGCACTGGGGCTGTTGACGACCACATCCCCTGGGGACGCTACAGGCGACGTCTTGTTGCGTTTTTAATGAAAGCGAATGTTTTAACCAGCTGAGCTTGTTGCACAGCGAATCCACTGTCATGTTAACCATCGAGCAGGCACTAACAAGGGACACCTCAGTCATGACATATGGCAGCCCGAGAGACATTGTGATGGTTCGCTGGTTACTGCCACCTGCTATGCACTTCAAGCACTACATTATTATTGCAGTGCTACAAATGCATGTGCACCTGGGTCTTAGTTAAAAAAAAGCTACATGAGTAATTGCTCGGTAATTCAGTCTATTAAAATTATGTCATCTATACCAGTGTTTATTACTGCAGTGGTTATTTTTAGAAACACAGGAAATTCTAGATGTGCCACATATCTCACATTATAACAGGGGTTGGTATCACTACACCAAATGACAACAGGGTTAAATCCACAAAAATAACAAAAAAAGAACCATGCCTTTGTATGGCAGGCAGTATTCTACAGTATATATACTGTAGTTAAAATTACATTGAGTGGAAACAACATTTTAATCGTTAATTTGTGAGAGGAGAGATGTTATTGCCATCATCTCCTCTTCCATGAATGATGGCAGAATTTCTTCTACATGTGAAAGGTACAGTACCATGGGTGACACGAACTCTGATTTTATTCACAAAATCTCCCTCGCGTATTATGTAGCTGTTCCCTTCAGGCCCTGGCATTGTAAATCTTACATATTGGTGTAACATTTTGTGTTAAGGCTGAGAAAACTACTTTAAATCTTCAGAGACAGGAATGAAATGACCAAGAAATGGCCTGCTGGTACAATGGAGTGAGAAATCACAGCACATAAAATAAATGGGACAGCCTCAGTTTTAAAATTACTGCGCCCAACAATCTTCTGATGTGGACATATTTAAAACAGGGCCAATTAGGCCTCTGGAGTGGATTTAGTGTAAAGATAAGCAGTCTACACTGCAGCAATCAATGTACTGTAGTTTAGGATGACAGAATTCAGCCAGTTTACATCAGTTGGGTAACAGGGGGCATAATAAACAATCACAATAATTTAAACTCAGTATTTGCATATGATACAGTAAGTAATGTTACAAACAAGAGGGCATTTCACCCATTTAGCTAGTTTGGTAGTTCCTGAACATTTGTTGTTAATGAACAGTATGAAGGATTATGAGAATAAATACTGTATAAAAAACATTTAAATTATATATATATTATTTATCATACATAATGACTATATAAATATTTGATGTAAATAATGTTATTTATACATATTATAAATAACATCATTAATACATATCTATTATTAGTATGCCTTATATAATATTTTGATAAGTGATGAACACTGCAGAATGAAGAAAGCCAAAAGGCAGATTTGTTTACATAATAAAAAAGATATACACCACTCAATGGCACGTATCAACTTCAATAAGAGATTTCCATCTTAGTATAATTGAAGGTTTCTTCTCAGATAATATGCAACATTAAAGAAAAAGGCCAAAAGAAGAAATTGCCGTAAAATGTGATAACTATGGAGATCAGACTGAGGAAAAACATTTAAACTGAAATGCAGTATCAATTACAAAACAATTATCAAAATAACTGAAAAACACTGAAAATGCATGTAATATTTAAAAGGCCAAAATGGTTTCTGGCCTCTTTTATAATTGATTTGTAGAAATTTTTGTTAATGTTGATGCTAATTCTTACTGCGGAATCAGTTTGATTCAATTTATTTAAAACTTTAAATATGTACCGGATCTTGACAATTTTTTTTGACCTGTTGTGAGGTGGGACTAAGTGGGTCTCTGGCTTCTATTAATTTAGTTTTTACTTTAAATTTTACAGTACACTGAGCCGGGACTCTACAAAAAGTTATTTTGAAAATTAATTAAATTTTGCATGCATGATTACATAAAAAAAATCTGCTAAAGCAGAAATTAAAAAGTTCAGCGTATCATAACTGACAACATGTAGGTGGGTAATTTCTCAAACTTGGGAGCTGAGTCAGCAGACTCCATTATAAAATTATAAAATTTGTATAAGTAATTCTAACTTACACATTATACCTATTGTACCTGTTGTAATCCGGATATATATTTCAAGCAATCTAATTTTTTTTTCTCAATTTTTAAACATTCCAATTTAAATGAGACAGTACCTTATTATGAAAGGTTTTAAAGACTCCACAAACAGTTAAGAATAGGTGTTAGGCCTCAGTCCACAGATTCTGGCTCATGTCTGTTCTGTGCCATTAGAAAGTCATATGCCCCCAAGACACACTGCATCACTAATCAAAGTGCTCCAGGAATGGTGTTCAATAGGCTAGGTGCTGTCCCACAAGTTTACTGTATCAGTGTGGAAACTGATACCCATATCAAATATCTGCATTTTAGATTTACAGTGTGCACATTCGGGAGGAATGTACTGTATGACATTGTCATTTACTGTACATGTACTTCCATATTGCTTCAATAGCTGGAGCAGTGAGCTAAACTGTGGAACAAGTTACTTTAAGGAAGTCAAGTTGATATTACTGTGTTGCAAATTAAGAATATATTTGCACTACCTTTCTGCATATACAGTATAGTTTGAAATAATAAAGTCTAATACCACTGCAACACACCCTTGTACAGTAACTTAACATTTTACTGAAATTTAAGAAAGTTTTAAAAGTGTAAATTTTAAATGAAATTTAAAATAAAAAATATTTGTTAATGTTAAGTGGGTCCAGGTAATGCCATTTTTTAAAATATCTCATGAAAGGCTATGCTAGAAACAGTTACAGACTTACAAATTTGAATAAAAGTATTAAGTATAAAGAATATACTTCGCAGTTTTGTCTGAAATCACACGATTTTGGTGCAGCTTCTTTTTTCTCACCATTTGAACAAAGGCAAATGTTTTATGCATGCCAGCATCTTGGATGAACCCCAACAGCCAGACTACATCTGTGAAAACTGCCACAAAATCCAGTTCCTGTTTGAAAAAGTGAATATACTGAAGACAAACTTTAGGTTTCATATAAGCAAGGGTTACTTATGTCTTAACATACAGGGTAAATACTATATATTGTACAGGGGTGAAGGGTATATGAGAATTGGGCTATTCGTGATGGTTCTCTGCATCGAACCCTTGCAAATGTCGAGACCCTACTGTAATAAGGCTGCCAATCCTAATGACTCAACATAATATTAGCAAACAAATCCCCAGAAATTAGAAAAACCAAAAATGCAAGAAAAGATGTGGTCATAATTGCCGGCTACTCTTAGGAACACAGCACATGAAATATGCATCAAGGACCCTGAGACAAAAGCAATATGCTACCTCCCTGGAGCTAAAATAGCTGACATCATCCACAGTCTCCAACAAAGGCAGGTGACCACCCAATTGTTGCTGTCAGTGTTGTCTATATGACACTTCTCGTAAACAGCACACTTTTCACATGCAACAAATTCAAACACCTTGGAAACAAACTGGAAAGGGGCTAATTGGTGGTATTATCAGAGATCTCTCCAGCGCTACACAAAGTTGAACATCTGAAAACATTAAATCCATCAACAACACATGACTGAGGACATCAAGGGGTCAGCCTTCTCAACCATTGCAAAACCTTTCTACTGTAGAAGACAGGATGAATTATATCTGTATTAGGGGGACACCAGTTATCTCAATTTAATCACCAGTAATCAAAAAGATCCACAGAGAGTGTTCCCAAACATATCAACTAGAATGCAAAGACGGAGAACTCAAAGAAGAGATGGGCAGGAAGAACAAACAAACAAACAAATAAAAAAGAATCCAAATAAAAGGTGGTTCTACCTAATAGTGGGGAAAATTAGAAACATGATCACTCCATCCATTTTCTTTCTGCTTCATCCCACTCAAGAGTGATGGAGGAGCCAGAGTCTATCCTGGCAAGCAACGTCCATCGCAGGGCGCATGCAGACACAAGCATACACACGCACACCTATGCCAGTGCCACTTTTCCCAGGAGCCAGTTCAGATACCAGTATGTCTTTGGACTGTGGGAGAAAACTGGAGCACCCGGAAGAAACCAATTTGATCACTGAGAGAACATACTGTACATATACAGTACATACTGTAAAAGTTACCATATTATCAGAATATGATGCGCCTGGAATCACAGAAACATGACTAATGGAAATTGAATATAACAAATCCAACATGAGAGGGTACACAGCATTCTAGAGAATCAGGAAATGTGGGAGCGGGGCATAATGCTATGCATGTAGAGTATTCAGGGATAGGCCCTTAACCTGGAGGAATCACAGATCTCAGAATCTACTGTATATCAATCACACTTAAAAAACATTTAAAGGCGTAGTAGTAGGAATATGCTACAGACCATAAAATTAATATATTAAGTATAATCCAACAATGTATAATGAAATGTGTTAAAGAATAAATTGTCATGGGAGACTTCAACTTTCCTCACACAGATTGAGAATAACCAATAACAATGTCAGCAGCGGATCTCACAGCTAATAGCCACTTGTTTATTCAGTCCATCAGA